AGAAAAAAAAAATCCCCATGTTCTCCCTCCTTGGGGGGGGGTAAAAAAAAAAAAAAAAACAAAAACGGTGGGGGGGGGGAAGAAGACACAACAGTTACAATTCCTTGAAGTTGATACGACAAGTGAACAGAAAGGTCATTGTTGGGAGGGAGGGGGGAGAGGGAGGAGGGAGGTTTCGGTAATTGGCCACAATAATCAACCACATTGTATACTGACAAAATAAAATAAAAAAATTTTTTTAAAAAAAGGTTACTCTGAGAACCAATCACATTTAATACTTTACCTATAAAAATAATCTCAAATTCCAGAGATGGCAAAGGACTGATTTGGTTTGCTAAATAAATATGTCTGTTTTATAAACTCTCCTACCGTCTACTGTACAGAATGCTTTACAAAGCATAATCTGAAAAGGTCTGACATTTAAATGTTTTCTACCACAGCCATTGAAAACCTGCCATTAAAGCATTGATTGCAGAGGAATGTATCAAAAGAGAATAGATTTTCAAGCTTAAATGAATTCCATCAATCTATTATTTACTTAATTTTTATATATTCAATTATCAAAACTCTAAATTTTCTATTAGAATAAAGTTTGACAACTGAGGCCTATGGATAAGCAAAACAGAAATTCATCCTTTAGGATTCCTATGTCTAACAACAGCATTTAACTACTTAGACCGAAGATTAATTAAATTTTCTTTACCCTCTCTTCCCACTGAAAATAATATTTCTCTTAAGTCAATGAATTTACCTGATTAAGCCACATCATATTTGTTTTCATGCAAATGCAATAAAACCAGAATATTGTATTTATTCAAAGTACAAATACTAAACAGTCATGAAACAGAAATGTCAGTTGGGAAGGGCAAGAAAGTCTCTTTGTGAAAAGAAGAAATCCATGGAATATTTCTAAAGTCATCATCTAGAATTAGGAACCAGAATTTATCTTTATTGTAAAATTACCTGACTCCCAATATCTGATTGAGTTTCAATGTATATGTTGAAGGGGCAAGAGAATTTCAGTCTGACCCCAGTTCTTAGATCTGCTATCACAGGTAGACAGAGATACCCAGAGTAACAGCAGAGCTTAAATCAATGAGTAGAAATAATGAGATATTACTGATGTGAAAAAGAGACCATGTCAGCAAGAGATATTGTCAGTATTAGTAAGCAGTTATTTATCTGTCATTAGAACCATATTTTCCTATATCTAAATGGTTATAAGAACCCTGAGATTTAAGACTGAGATATCAGGTCCTCATCATTCCCTACTCCCTATCTAATAAAAAAATAAATAAATAAATAAATTATTTTAAAGTCAGATATCCAGGTAGTAGATATTACAGTGAGTATATAATACAAAAATATGGCTATACTTCCCCCAAACTCTATATGATACACAACTGCAATAAATACACTCCGATGGATGTCTATATTGCTATTTAAACTAGAAAATGACCGAAATATTTTCTTTATGCATTCTGAATAGATGTCTTCATTTGTACTAAAAAAAAAAAAAAAATCAATGTCATTTTTCATAGTAATAGTCATTAGCTTTTAAAAACAAACTTACTAAGTGTATTGCACATATTGGTTAATAATTACCAAAACATCAGTTTTCCAAGCACATACAAAGCTACTAGGTGGTCGTGAATGCCAAATAGGTCTGAGAATTCATTTTTCATTTCTTTTAAATGACTACATATCTTACCTTTGGTGAACAAACCACCTCCGGTTTGTGGTTCCTCCTAAACGAATTACTAGTTTATCTAAGAACAACATTTTATAGAAATACACTAATTGTACACTGGGCTAAAATTATGAATTTTCAAAAGTGATAATTCTTAGAAAAACAAATATTAAATAACCACTTCCATATCTAAAACAGGAATCATCTCATTCTCTGGAGACAAAAATAAATTGCAATAAGCTATTACCATAGCCCTGTTGCTGTCCTGGGTAACCTTGCTGCCCCGGGTACTGCTGTTGCTGGGGTGGATATCCCTGTTGTGGAGGTGGTCCCTGGTAAGCATCTTGCTGTTGGCCATACTGTGAATTTCCTACAGGATAATTGGAGAAGAGGAATAAAAACTTGAGAAGTTTACTTAATTAACTTTTTCCCTCTAAGATGCATAGCCAACAACACAAGAACAAAATGAAATGCCATATTGATTTTTAAAAGTTAACAAAACAAAGAAAAAAACTCAAACCAAACAGAAGGATTTCGGCCAAACAAACTGCAGTTAAAGCCAATTTTGCAAGGTTGAACTGCAGCATTTTCAGCGCCTCTGCCATACGAGCATTACATTTACTGGAACATCACAGTCATAAGATCATGACTATGCTAAATAAAATAAAAAAGACAAAATTAAAGACAGCTACAAGAGCACACACTAGCTACACAAGATCAGCAAGCTGTTTCCTAAAGGCACTATACTTATATGTAAAATTATACATATGTAAAGACACACAAGAAAAAAATTTGGATCAATGGATTTATGTTCAAATAGAAAATTTCCACTGAAGAAGAAATTATTTTTAAATGTTTTAGTCTTTTTATTGTTGTTAGAAATGGCAAGTCGGGTTACACAATTTAAATATTTGTAAGGAAATTATTTTGATTGTACTGGGCTCCCTGTAACTTTCAAGACAGCCAGCAACTAGGATTCTACAAGAGCTCTGGATGGGTAGAAGTTGTCTTATGCAAGAATTTTCATTCCTGTAGAAGGGGATATATATGTGTATGTGTGTGAAGGTATATAGATACCTCCTTCGTAGTAATGTTGTGAGGAATCCTCATAAGGCCTATCGTAGCCTTGTTCAGGATACGACGGTTGCTGATAACCGTAATCATTATGACCTACATCAATTCGACAAGAGACAGGAAGAAACGTTAATGGCCACTGAGTGAGAACCCTAAAAATATTTAAACTTTCAGATAAAATTGAAAAAAAGAAAAAGAACTGGAAATACATAAAAAATAATTTCAATTGCATTAGCCAAAGAATTATCAATGTGATTGTTTTCATACTGAGATAACGTGCAAATTTTTTTTAAAGCAAAAAGCAGTAGTTTTAGAAACATTACACTTATCCGCTTAACTCTTGATAATCCTCATTGAGGGGAAAAAAACTTTATCTTCCATTTAAAAAAAAAGAGAGAGAATGAAAGCATTTAGGTCTTTCACATGTAAATACTTGAACTAAATTAGAGTGAACAAAGGAAGCAATTATCATATTTTGTCAAACACCTGTTCTGCTGGTCTCCAATTCCACAGCATATGCTAAAAACAATGCAAAATATAAAACAACTCCGTAAGTTTTTTCCCAAAAGAAACTGAAACAAATTTTTCACATTCTAACATTTACTTGCATAAAGTATATGTATCTCAAAGAATGTTCAGATGCAAAAATATATTCCTTAATGCTGCCATTTTAGAAGTCTTTAGAAAATATTTCTGAGTATCACAAACATACATCATCAGAAAATTCATATTGTGTTGAATGTTAAAGTATACCTTTAGTTTTAAGGCACAATAAATTTTACTTGCAAGATAACTAGATTCTAATGAAAAATAATACTCTCATCCTTTAAACTAAGTTTCACTAAGAAAATATAGGAAACAACCTTTTGGTTAGCTAAAATCTGAACTAAATTTTACAAAAATGCCTAATTAAGGAAGGAGGAATATAGTTAGAAATAAATGTTATATTCAGCACCCTAGTATTCTAGTATGTTCCCAAAATCACCTCATAAATATCTACATCAAGGGCTGGCAAACTATGGCCTGCAGTCTTCATGTGGCCATTGGCCTGTTTTTGCAAATAAAGCTTTACTGGAATAGCGTCATGCCCATTCATTTAAGTACTGTCTATAGCAGCTTTTGGGCTATGACAAGAGCTACAATAAGAGTTCAGTTGTTGAGACAAAGACCAGATGGCCCACAAATTCTAAAAGATTTACTATCTGGCCCTTTACAGAGAAACGTTGCCAACTCTTAATCTATATATTTACTGGGATAAATTAATAAGAAAAAAAGGTGCACTGCTGTTTAAGAAAATTAATTGTTGATATAAATGGAATACTGTACATAGAAGTCAGACATAAATTAATATACATCTATGCAAAAATGAAACCATTTAAATAAAAATCCACTAATGTAATAAAACAAATTATTTAAAGTAACCTTAAAAGTTTTGATATTTACAAAACATCATATCTATTCATTTTTAATAAAGCAGTCATATTTGTAACAATACAAATTTCACATTTCAGGAGATACTCAGGACCAAAATAATAATGTCAAGTTCAACTCAATTACTTAAAATGTATTTTAAAAATCAAACAAAACTATCATTTATTTTCAGCAGACTTCTTAGTACACATAATTAAACAAAGTAGATTTCACCTCTAACATCCCTCTCTAGTCTACTATAAACTTACTAAAGTTTTTAATTAAAAAAAAATCTTAATAGCATGTCTACATGTGGAAAGAAAAAAAAACAACATTCTGAATAATTCAGGGCACGAAAAATCTGATATAAAAAAAGTTTTCTAACCAGAATTATCCATACATATATCATTTACTGTATGTAAAATTCAGCAGGTGAGTGTTTGCTCTGCCTGTATAGTTACAGCCTCTGCAGTAAAAATCAGTGTCCTTAAGCACACTTGTACCTTTATGCTTTATATACTGACAAAAAATGAAGGGCAAAGTGATTTTTCAAATATACTAAATTACATCTTCTTTCTGGCATCTAGTCAATAGCTAATAACATTTTAGCTTTAAGTTTCTTAGTTTCTTTGTTAGGTAATTTATATTAAATACACCAATAGACCTTACTATATGAGTGAAGCTTTTGGTAAATCCTTTCATAAGACAAATCATTTTGTAATATGAGTAACTACCTCTTAATTTATCAGTTTTATATGTTTAGATTATTTTTTATACTACATTGTATTATAAAATGTTCAAACATACAGAAAAATTAAAAGAACCGTACAGCAAAATCTACTTGTATGCTTGAATTATTACTATTTAGATTTTCTTAATGTGCATCATTAGTGACCTCTTTTTCACGAATTACCTTCCACTAGAAAAACAAAACAAAAAAAACCCACTGAACTAAATAATTAAAAATCTGGTTTCCAAATCCCTTCCCTATTCTACTAAGCTATGTTATGGATATAATTTTGCCACCAAAATTTTTCTGAAATGCAAGCCCTAACGTATATAAATCATAGTTCTTTGAGAAGTATGCAACATTAAATAAACTGATGAAACTTGGAAAAATATTCGAGAACTGTATTCTCTATGTATGTATACAATGAACAAAAGTAAACCATATGTGAACCTTATGGCATTTGATATCTCAATAAAGTTGTTATTTTTAAAAAAAAAGAGTAAATCAATAACATTTGCTTTGGTTCAAATGAACAACCTTAAATATAAAAGGATTCTCTTTTATATAAGAAAGAATTCCAACAATAGAATTTTTCTGGTGGTACTAATGGAATAGTTACACAAAATATACTTTAAATTAGATTATAACTAATGCTATCATTGGTACTTTAGAGTATTGAAGTATTTCTAAATTTCGAAGAAACAGATGGTTAGTTTCTTCATCCTCATTAAAATGTTTTGAACAGTTCTCTATATTAATATCGGGCAGGGACAGAAAATGGGAAAGTTAACATTAGGAGAGATTACCATCAGGGTAATATTGCTGGTTCATGCCTTCTGGAGGACCTTGTCCACCATGACTGTATTGGTCCCCATAATAGTCTTCCTGGCCTGAGTACTGCTGTGGTGGGCCTGAAAAACCACAACCAGTCAAGATGTAAATAATTTGTTCACTACATCATCAAAGGCTTTCTTTCTAGTCTGATGTTATGAGAGATTATTTCTCAGCTGTAGATTCCCCTCCCATGCTTAGCATTTCAGATACTTTTAACTATTCATATACACACACATATATACACACAAAGCAGCTCCACATACCACATTTACTAAAATTAATGTTAAGACATAAGAGGGTACTTCAAAAAGTTCACAGAAAGATTCACATTATCATCCAATTCTGTTACAAACTTTTTGAAGTACCCTCATACATGCAATATCAAACACAACCAACTCAGAAAAATGAACACTAACATCTTAAAAGGAGGTTCAACCTAGTAGAAAATTAATTTCCTCTTTATTTTGATATCAGAGTACTTGGCAATAAAATTGGGTTTGCTCCTGGCCATATGTTTAATAACTTCTCAAAAACAAAACAGTATTTTCTGCTGTGAATTAGTGAGCTTTTGATATAAAATTTTATGATGTAACCTTTTCCCAGAAAATAATAGATAAAAGAAAGCTGTATACCAAGAAGTTCCTATCCACTTCATGGCCTTTGTACCTACTATACTTACTACCTTTTGAGGGGGGGGCGGGGGGGGGCAGAGAGAATTAAGAAACAAAAAGTCCTGACTTTGTCTAAAACACAATTTCATTAAAATTTAAAGCCTTTCAATTACTGTTATTTGTATTAAGCAGGAAGTTTTCCAAATGGAATCTTACCCTGTTGAGGTGGTCTATAGGGAGGAATCTGTCTCTGACCCATCATATGATTGCCTTGGTTAACTTGACCCATCATTCCCATAGGTGGCTGCTGTCCTTGGTAATGTTGCCCACCTCCCTGTGGCATATTGTACTGCTGAGAAGGAGGCTGCTGATGCATCATTGGACCTGAAAACAAGACACAACATTATACGCATAACTTTTTTGCACATAATTTCAACATCTTAAGAGAAATAAGAAAATCTTTCATTATGATATAATCCCCAAATATATAATTACACAATAAAAATTGACTTCAAATAATAAAAACAAGTCCTTGAATTAAAGCTCACATGCCTAAAACAATCTGCAAATAAGGGGAAACAACCAATTCATGGTAATTGACCTAAAACCCACTGGAAGAGGAGTCTAGTCATTTTTTAGAAACAAAATGGATATAATACATAAACATCCTGAATGTATATATTTTCCATTATGTACTACATAATATTTATCTATGTAATTGTTCTGAAAAAGATATAATCCTCATGCTACACTAGAAAATACACAGAAAGTAAACTCCACAAAATCATACAGCAAATCAGTAGTCAAACCAGGGGGAAAAAAAACAAATTTCTGGATTTCCATTTTGTTCTTTTTTAATACCCACTCATTATATAATGGTTGATAAGGAAACTATACAAATATTTATAAATATACTTACATCAGTAGTATTTCATAACTTTATTTTAGGAAATAATTTTAAAGGGTCTTCTTTCCCTTTTCCAACTACAAGATTATTAAACTAAAAAGTTCCTATTGACATCAAAGGGCTATCCTGCTTAATAAGTTAAAATACACACACACACACACACACACCCCCAAAAACACCTAGACAGAGAACTGCAATAACACTGTAGGCTCAGAAATCAGAACTACACACTTCCCAAAGTGAATAATGCCAGGCAGGCAAACTACCGGTGCTATAGCATCACACTGGCAACAGTAAAAATATATCACATGAAATAATCAACAATGGCCATAAACTCCCATGTTGCTACCTAACAATGTAAGTAAGCACCTCCTTCAAAGAGCTGGGCTAGGCAAACTACCGGTGCTATAGCATCACACTGGCAACAGTAAAAATATATCACATGAAATAATCAACAATAGCCATAAACTCCCATGTTGCTACCTAACAATGTAAGTAAGCACCTCCTTCAAAGAGCTGGGCCAAGTTATGGTGTGGGGAGCTCATCATTCTGCCAGTAATGTCTCAGAAGTATATATGAGTCATCTCTCAGTTTATTGCTTACATAGTTATTTACTCCCCCTTTACTGTCTTGGCAACAATTTTAGAAGAAAGTACAAAAGGCAAAGACTAGAGAATCTGGAAAAGTTTCACAGGCAAAAACTGCCCAGATGAGCCAGAAGCTCACTGTTTAGTGATTTAAATTAAACAATTAACAACAAAACAAAACAAGCCCACCTCTTTAAATATACTACTAACCTACAGCAGCAGCAACAATGTGATAAGCAGAAAGCCTTCACTTCATTTCCAATCTGAAGAACTGTTTTATCTAAAGGAGTACTTTATTACAGCTAACTTTTTCCCCTTTTGCCTTCTGTTTTTCTACTTCTCTTCAAATTCTTTCTTCTTTCTCTCTGATTTTGTTATCATGAATATATAAACCTCTCAAAAGTTGCACTGGGCCCTATCTTTCAACAAGGAAATAAACTCTTAATAGTAGGGTCAAAGTGGCTCAGTAAGAGTGATGGGGAAGGGAACTTAACACTGAATGCACACCTATACTGCTGGTTCCTATGAACACATTCACTTCCTGTAAACCCCTAACTACCACCAGAGGAAAGGAGCCTAATTTTCACATGATTAGCCAAGAAATCCAATGATCAAGATTATACAGCTAATAGATATCAACTGGGAATCAGACAAACCTCGAGTTTGATTTCAAAGACACGTGTGTTCCACTATTTTTCACTGCCTCTACTCAAAAATAAGCTATAACAACTTTCATAGTTCAGAAGTTCTGAAATAAAAAAGTACCAAAATACTAATTTAAGTGATGTTACAATTTTTTTTATTATTATCAGCTCTATTTTATTTTTTTGTTGGTTTTGTCCATAAAACAAGTCTTAATACATTTAAAAGGACTAAGATCATAGAAAATATGTTCTCTGACCACAATAACAGAAGGAAATTTAGAAAATTCACAAATGTGTGGAAATTAGACAATACTCTCCTAAAAAATGATTAAAAAGAAATATCATAGGGAAATTAGAAAGTACTTTGAGATAAAAATCAAAGAGCAACATATAGAAATTTACAGGATGCAGAGCTCATGCATTGCTTAGAGGAAAATTTATACTTGTAAACACCTATATTGAAAAATAAGAAAAATCTCAAATCAATAAACTTTTACCTTAAGAAAACAGAAAAAGAGCAAACTAAACCAAAAGCAAATATAAGTAGGAAATAACAAACATTGTAATAGAAATATGTGAAACAGGGAATTAAAAAACAATAGAAAAATCAACAAAACCAAAACTTTATTCTTTACAAAGATCAACAAAATCTACAAACCTTTATCTAGATTGACCAAGAAAAAAAGAGAGAAGACCCTAATTACTAAAATCAGAAATAAAGTAGAGGCATTATTACATTGTCATTACAGTTTTTTGTGGTGGTAAGATTTAGTTTCTTTCTCTTTCTTGTTTGCATTTTTGTTCTACCAGTGGGTTTTGTTCTTTCTTATGCATTCATGGTAGTGATTATCGTTTTTCAGATTCCAGATGTAGGACTTCCTTGAGGAATCCTTGTAGGGCTGGTCTTGTGGTGGTGAACTCCCACAGTTTTTGTCTGGAAAATACACTATTTTTCCCTTGTTTCTGAAGGACAGCCTTGCTGTGTATAGTATTCTTGTGTGGCAATTTTTTTCTTTTAGTATTTTGAATATATCATCCCATTTTCTTCTGGCCTTTAGAGTTTCTGTTAAGAATTCTGCTATTAGTCTGATACCAGCTCCCTTAAAGGTGACTTGACACTTTTCTGTTGCTTCTTCTAAGATTCTCTGTCTCCGAGCTTTGCCATTTTGACTATAACATGTCTTGTAGAGGTTCTTTTGGGGTTGAATCTGTTTGGGAACTTTGAGCCTCCTGGATCTGAAGCTCTGTGTCTCCCTATACCTGGGAAGTTTTCCATTATTATTTTGTTGAATAGCTTTTCTATAACTCTTCCTTTCCCCTCCCCTTCTGGAACACCCATGATTTGGATGTTTGTGTGCATAAGGTTGTCTGCTAGCTCTCTCAGATTTCCTTCATTTTTTAAAAATTCTTTTTTCCTTTTTTTGGTCTGCCTGGGTTACTTCAAAAAGACTATCTCCAAGATCAGAAATTCTTTCATCTGCTTGTTCTAGCCTGCTGCTTAAGCTATCAGTTGTGTTTTTCATTCCATTTAGTGAATAAGTTCCCTGAGATACACTACATTGTTTTTTTAAGGTATTACTCTCCTTGTAAATTTCCTCCTTCATATCTTGGATTTTTTTTTTCTCATTTCATTATGCTGTCTGAGTCTTCTCATATCTCAGCAAGTTTCCTTAAGACTGTTGCTCAGAATTCCTTTTCAGTAATCTCAGGGGTTTCCTGCTTCATAGGGTCCCATATTTGAGAATTACTGTATGTTTTTGATGGTGTCATATTTTCTGAGGTTTTTGTATTTCTAGTATCTCTATGTTTATGCCTGGTCATGTGGTACAGAAGTTGCTTTTTCCATTACCCTGGAGTCAGCTTTGAGGAGAGACACATTGTCTTCTTTTTCCGGTCTCCACTGGTTAGTGTCCAGCAGGCTGCCGGTACAGTGACTGCAGCATCAAGCTGCTTTTTCAGCAGCCATGGCTGTGGTAGTGGCTTTGCTGGGCCACCCATGCAGAAGTGGTGTTTCTGGCATACTCCTTGCCTGTTTCCAAGTGGGGGACACTGCCCTTGGCTCCTGCCCAGGACCCCAGTGCTCTGTTTCTTGCCTGCTTCCACGTAGATGGGGCTGCTGCCCTTGGCTCCTGACTAGGATCCCTGTTGTTATAATATAAAAATATATTTTGTATATAATAAATAATTAAACACTAAGATTCAGAATTTAATAGGCAACCTCACTGGGCATTAATGTAATCCATTTTCAGTAAATGAAGGTTTTGCCTTGTCTTTCTTCTCCAACACTGTCTAAAGACCTCCTTTCTTAACAGAAGGTAACTAAACAAGGATACTTCAAAAAGTTCCTGGAAAAATAGAATTAAAAGATAATACTAATCTTTCCATGAACTTTTTAAAGACCCCTTGTGCAACTAAAGCATATAATATGCATTGGAACCAAAATTAAAAAGAAAACAAAACCATAATAGCCAGGGGGACAAAATCCAAAAAGATACGTAACAAAATTCTGAACTTTGCTCTAATGAAGAAAAATAATTCTAGCTTAAGTTCTAAATAGAAAAGATCATGTCCCTTGTGCTTTACTTTTTAGGACTGTCTGCAGTTCCAATCCCATAGAGCTCAATTACCACCCTACTTCTTTTCTCTGTTACTTCCCTCCCTCTGAGGATCCTGGCATATTCAGGATCAAGCCTAAAACCACAGGGAGAATGGAGTTGGCTAGCACTACTAAAACAAGGTACTTTTCACTGTTTTCCTTCAAGCCTTATCCATTAAAGAAAAAAATTATGACTTTATGACTTCGATTGTGATTGTTTATCCTTATGACAATGAAACATGTTAGACTGGCAATGTGGGAGCATTATCTCTTGAGACAGTAATGGAAATAAGAGAGCTAAATCACAAAAGGTTACCCCAAAATGAGTTCTAAAAATTGTACTACAGAGTGAAATAAGATTACAAAATGAGTCTATTATAAACATTTTCTACAAACAACAGCATCACACATTATTATATGCTTAAAAGTTATTCATCTTTTTTATGTAAATGATTTTGATGTTAAGATGCACTACAAAATAGATAACACATACACAAAGACTGCTAGTTAGTCTTAATTACCTAGAATATACTTTTGTTAAATGTTTTGCAAGGACATATAACAAATACTCATCATTATTATGTTATTTCTTTCCATTTTGGCTTTTATACCCTAATAGATATTCTATGGAAATAATGTCGTATATCTT